GTCACAATTGCGCTTTTCAATTGAAAACAGACATCATCTTTAGAGACATTTGTCATCTTTAAAGACTTCTGCACGCCATTTTTCGAGCCGCTCTTTCAGTTGAGCCAAAGAAAACATTCATAACTTGTCTGACATCTCTGTTACAAACTCTGGTCATCAACTCTGGTTTTCAGTTGAAATTGGAATTGTTAATTTACACAATAATAGGATTGCATTGACGATTTGTTCTTAATTCGCAAAAATCTTCAAACAATTTGCTATCGATTGATGATAAAATTTTTTGGAATTAATGAAATAGAGGGGATAACGCCTTTTTTTTCAGAGGTGATTTTCCGAAAATTTATTTTTTAAAAAGTACTAACTAGCAAATCGTTTTTATTAGCTCGCAATTTTCTTCGAAACTACTTCAATGAGGAAAAAAATAAAAATTAGGAATATCTATACATGAGGGGCTAATTGATCGGATCTGAGGAATCTGCTTTATCAGCGCTGTTGCTGTACAAAAAGAGAGAGGGAACGATGTTTTACCGCGTAAACCACTCAGTGCGGTAGTTCAGAACAACATCCCATCGTTAATTTGTAAATAAAGTCTGTAAATATTTGAGTATTTGAAGTGTAAGTGCCTCACATCAATCGTTCTGCAGTCTTATCAATATTTCAGTTAATTTATCTGCATTTTAATTCAGTTTTGTACGATTTTGGTGAAGAGTATAATCGAACGAACCCAAAAATCTACACGAATCAGGCAGCAACAATCTTCTAGTCACCAACGAACCTCGAACTGAAGGAATTAAATGTGAACCTGTCAGCCTGTGAAGTATAAAAAACTCAAGCGTAAAAATTTCCGGAAGGAACACAATTAAACTCGCAAATTCTCCAATAAAACCAAAATTTAAACATCGGCTGTCTCAAGGGCTCAATCTTCAGAAGTATAAAAGAGTCGTTTTATCAACTAGTGAAGACTTAGAATTTTTTGAAGCATAAAAAATCCCAGAAGAAAGGCAATTCAACCCCTCAATTCCCTAACAAAACAGAATCATGCAGCAAGAATCTTCTAGTCACTGACGAAGCTCGAACTCCTGGAGGAATTAAATAAACCTGTCAGCCTGTGAAATATAAAAGACTTGAGCGTAAAAATTGCCAGAGAGAAGACAATTAAACTCGCAACTTCTGCAATAAAACCAAAATTAAAAAATTGACTGTCTCAAGGGTTGAATCTTCAGAAGTATAAAAGAGTCGTTTGATCAACTAGTGAAGACTTAGAATTTTTTGAAGCATAAAAAATCCCAGAAGATAAGAAATTCAACCACTCAATTTCCTGACAAACCCACAACTTCAGAATCAGTTATCTCAGGGTCTGAATAATCAAAACTATAAATAAACCCTCAAGTCAGTCCACAGTCATGGCAGACAGTGATTCAGACGTGGACGACGTCCTGAGCAACCTCCTATCCAACGAGGAGGACCCCCCAGCCCCTGGAGGCCCTGGAGAGCCCCCAAAAGTCCTGAAGAAGCCAGACCACAATTCCCTGAACAACCTCACCGAATCCCCATCTGAAACCCCCCCAGAAAAATCTTCAAAAAGCCCAAAAAACCCACTCAAGCCTCAAAATTCCCAGAAGAAAAAAACTCCCCATCCCCTCCCCCCCAAAGCTCCAAAGTCAGTGACCTCTGGGTCTAAATCAGACAGTTCTTCAGACGTGGACGACATCCTGAACAACCTCCTGTCCAACGAGGAGGACCCCCCAGCCCCCGGAGGCCCCCCAAAAGTCCTGAAAGAGCTAGACTACAACTTCCTGGACAAGCTCAACGAATCCCCCACAAAAACCCCCGAAGAAAAATCCCGATCCCTCATCCACAACGACTCAGACTCCTCGGACGACGAGGACAAAAAATACTTCGAGGCCCAGAAGTACTCGGACTCCGGCAGGAGCATCAGAGACCTCCTGAAGCACCAGAGCGCCCCAAAAAAGGAAACCTCAGCCCTCTTCCCCAGGAGAACAGGGGCAGCGCCCAAAGCGTCGACTCCAAAAACCGATGAGCCCAGGAAGAAGGCGGAGACAGCCCTGACGACGTGGCTATCGAAGCCCCCAGACGTCTACAGCGACCCAGTCTTCGGCCTGCGAATCGTGAAGCCCTTGATCTCCTCAGCAGAGCTGAAGGAGCGAATGCAGGACAGGAGGCCCATAACAGTCTCCAAGATAAAGAGCTTCGTCGCCACCCAGGACCAGTCCCAGGACTGGGTGATCGCTGGGGTCCTGATCCACCGTTCGGCAACGAAAAAATCACTGAATGGAAATCAGTACTGCATCTGGCAGATCAGCGACTTGTCCGAGAAAATCCCCAGCGTCTCGCTGTTCCTCTTCAGTGGAGCCTACAAGCTTTTCTGGAAGACGTCTGAGGGGACCATTGTGGGGGTGCTCAACCCCAACGTCTTGGAGTCGAGGAGTGACAAGGCCGAGGCGACGTTGTCCGTGGATAACGCCCAGAAGATCATGATATTAGGAAATTCTCGAGACCTGGGACGATGCAAGTCGGTTAAGAAGAGTGGGGACCCCTGCACCAACATCGTCAACAAGAGCAGGTGCGAGTACTGCGTCTATCATGTGAAGCAGGAGTACAGCAAGGCCTCGAGGAGGACTGATTTGCAGGTAATTTGATAATACGACAACTATTCTTAAATGCCGAAATAACTCAGTTTCATTTTCATTTCATTTTCATTTTGTCATTTGCAGACGGACTCGAATAACAGGAGGTTCGGCAGCCTTGGGAAGCAGAGCCAGAGCCAGAAGTTCGGAGGCATGAGTTCGCAGGGGAATGGGCTGAATCATCTGAACATGCTGGCGATCCCAGCTAAAAGGAACCACAAGATGGAGCAGAGGGACTCCGAGAGGCTGGCGCTGCTCACGCAGGGGTCCACTGGGGTGTCCAAAGGTCAGACGTCTGGTGACAACCTCCTGGATTTGGAGAGGATTGGGGTGAGCACGGGGTGGAGCAACAGATCGGCCCTGTGCTTGTCATCGATATCGAATTTATCGAAGGGGTCTCCAAAGAGTTCGCCCTCGTCAACTGGAGGACAGAGTGGTTCATCGAAACCTTCAGTGGCGTCTCCAAGGGCGACTGTTCCACGTCTGGGGTGTGGGGTCGTTGGAGACACGATCGACTTCTCCCAGCCCATTCCCAAGAAGGGCATCAGCTCCGCCAAGATGAGCGCGATTAAATGGGCGAAGGAGAAGGGAGGGATTAAGTCAGGGAATGCCAATAAAATTCGCGAGAGCAGGGAGAAAATGGAGGCCTCTGCCAAGAGGAAACGAGAGGAGGCAGACAGAGCTGAAGAGAGTGAGAAAGACGCGAAGAAGGTGTGCTCGACGTCTGATAAATTCCGGGAGCTCATGGAGCTGACCTCCGCTCACGAGGACCTGATCGAGAAGTCCGATGAGAACGAGAAGGAAAAGTATTTCAACAAGCTCGAGGCCAGGGAGCGAATGGAGGAGAAGATGATGACGACTTTCAAGGTGGACTGCAAGGCTGTCAGGTGCCTCGTCTGCAAGTACACGTCCTTCTCGGCATCGGATATTTGCAAGGAGAAGAGACATCCTCTGAGGGTGATCGACGCTGTCAAGAGCTTCTTCAAGTGTGCGGACTGCGGGAACAGGACGGTGAGTCTGGATAAACTGCCCTCGTACAGCTGCCAGAAGTGCTCGGGCTCTAGGTGGCTCAGGGCTGCCATGATGGACGAGAGGAAGACCAATATCTCGGACTGCGTGCTCTCGATTCGAGGGGGAGAGGAGAAATTTGTGGGCTCGGAGGTCAAGAATTCTAGTATTAATCTTCTTGTGCCTAGCGATGATGCTTAGCAGGAAATTATGAGCCTGTTTTTGAGGGGATAATTTTTTTAATGAACTTAGATTAAGGGAAAGAATGTTTTAAATCATGACTGGAGTCAACAAATCTCTAATCTATGATGACAATTATTTCGAATGGAATAAAATTGAGGGATGGAATAATTAAAAACGTGAACATGAGAAAATTACACAAACTCATCACCTTCCATCTTCACTTTAATTTCCAAATTAACGATAATTAGAGAGGATTCGAGGGGGAGAGGAGAAATTTGTGGGCTCGGAGGTCAAGAATTCTAATATTAATCTTCTTGTGCTAGCGATGATGCTTAGTTCGAAATTATGAGCTTATTTTTGAGGGGAAATTTTTTTAATGAACTTAGATTAAGGGATGAAGTGTTTTAAATCATGACTGGAGTCAACAAATCTCTAATCTATGATGAAAATTATTTTGATTGGAATAAAATTGAGGGATGGAATAATTAAAAATGTGAACATGAGAAAATTACACAAACTCATCACCTTCCATCTTCACTTTAATTACCAAACTTGAATTAATCATTTGTTTTTCTCCATAAATCATCGGTGTATCATTGTTGGAATGTGACTGTATGTGATCACCACGACCTGTTCAATCCTCGTTTCGTAACAAGACATATAATATAATATAGAACTTCTTTAATCCTTATTTTTTCTGAAAAATATGCGAGGAGTGTCGCGACCGAGTCGTGACTGAATTTTCGTGATTCTCGTCGTTTTAAAATTCTCTTTTGACCCGAGGAGTTCACTAATTGCGTACGAATTTGATATATCTTTTTATCACTCACACAACCACGAATCTTCTCGATGGACGTCAATAGAGTGACAGGCATCTTCCGTTTCAATAGTTATTATTGTATCTTTTTAATTTATGTAAAAAACATGAGGCAATGTCGAGGACGCAGATTTATCTGTTTCATCACTAATCATTTCATCTACCATTTCCTCTCTGCTGGTAGTGTACGCTCTGATGACGATGAAATTAAGCGAAAGACAATCGTTGGATTGAAAAAAAAAGTTATACCAAGATCCCCACAATTATATTGAAAATCTCTAAGTACAATTTTCCTAGTTACTCCAGATTAATTTCTTCAAGCATTTAATTTTGATAAATGAATGCAATCTCTAGGGATAATGATACAATGCTCAAAGTTCAATTATGAGACACAAATCACACCTTTACGCACCCTCAACCCTTTCGTTATACAACATTTATTTATTAATCCCAGAAGGCTCATCTACTTCTACTTTTATCCTCTAGAGTCAATGAAATTTGAAAGAACAAATATTCCACGAATATTTCGTTTCTCATTTTCACTGTATCAAGAAATTTTGAACAATACAAATTCCGTTATTGAATAATCACGGGAAAAAAGCCAGGGACGACCCCTCTGGGATTAAACCATTCAAGAACAAATAAGAAAAACAAAGATTAATGAAGAACAACAATGTTTCATTTCACCAATTGCACATCAGCGTCATTACCACAATTAAATAATTATGTTGTACAGCTCGTGTTATCATCCCTCAAACTCTGTCAATATGTCCCCGAATTAATACGTAAACGTCCTGAGAAGATACGTGTTTTTTTTTAATTCCAAAAAACACTTCAAGAATTTCCGTCGTTTCCCCTTGTTGAATTTATTTAATGCACAGTGTTCACTCACTTCCTGGTACTCTTAACTGGAAACAATGTTTCATTTTAGTTGTTTATTTTGTTTTTTCATTATGATTAATGTAGGCAGGTATTCAAGCTGGCTTAATTAAGTGTCACAGTCTTCGAGTTGCCCTTAAAAATCCATTCGAATATTTCTTTATTGCTCCGATTCCAATTATCGTAAACTGGAGGAAACTTCGCCTTGTTGTTGTGAATTTCATTCTGACATCCCACACTGGTACCATTCACTCAATGCTGCTCACACAGGCTCACTTTTATTTCAATTGCTCAGCAGAAAAAAGTCAATTTTTCGTTCAAAACTCTGCGTTATTCTCTCTTATAAATTCTTCTAATTTGCAATCTGGCCACACTAGGTGGAAAATTCAGTATTATGTTCTATCAGTATGAATTTTCTATTACAATTGTGTACCGTGATCAACCGATTTATGGAGGGGAAAATACAGCGTTCTCTCGGAGGACCAGACCTTTGATCAACCATAGATTTTCATTTCCATATTTTAGGCGAGAGGGAGTAAAATCAGCCGTTTTCAATCGCCAATATCTCGAGATTAGCTGAGTGAAATTCAAAAAAATTTTTTTTCTTTCACATGTATTGTTGCAGGCCTCAAAATGAGCCCTGACTCGTCCAAATCGCCTCGTAGAGTCCAGAGATATTGACGATTTAGTATGGATTTTACCCCATCTTTCCCTGAATTTTTTCGTTCACGTGTAATGCATGTGTGGTGTAGTCTCTTTATTATTCCTCTTCTCTTGTTTAGACTCTTATTTATTTGTTTTAAAATGTTTTCCACCCTTTCAATTATCAATATAATATGAATCCTGAAGCCACAGTGACTGTTCATTCTTCAATTAATTCACCAAATAACTCTCGACTCAGTTATCTTAATAATCGTCCAGATCGAAGTTCTCGATTTCAATATCATCCAACTGCATACTTTGAAAGTCGACTTTGTATCGTAAAATACCTGAAATGAAAAACGAAAAATCCCAGATAAATCCATAAGTTCATCAATAAATGGCTCAAAATATTGAAACTGCTAAAATAATAACTCTAATTGTTCATTTCCCCAGGGAATATCGAAGGAAGAACGCTAGTCACCTCTCAATTCGTAAATAATAAATCAACTCATTAATGAGAGTGAAGCATGTACTATACCTTTCCCAGTGTGCGAGCTAATGAAAAAGTTGAGAAATTTAATGTTAGTATTTTGAAGAAAAAAATTGAATAATTTTCTTTAATCTCTACTGAGACACACCACAGACTTTATTATCTACCTAGACTCGACCATCAGGGCTCGTGACTAAATTATTTTCGAACTAATGAGCATTAAATTCTCCTCATTGAGTCCCTGATGGTCAATTTAGCTCACACAGGTATAGCATGCCATTAATCAACTACAATCCGTAATTAATCATGAAAAATCTCCTTAAACTCGATCATGCATAAATCGAAATAACAACAGAAAATGTCCAGTCCCTGGATAAATCCAATGAAGATGAATTGTTCTACGAAATAATGTCACCAGTGAGACAAATCAAAATAACGAGTGATGATTCATGCCCATGAGAGACGACAAATAAAATAACAAATGGTGAAAATATACTCTGAAATAATTTCGTGGATGCGAAGAGATCTCCCTGTCGAGACGATGAAAAATAAATACTGAAGATTCAATGAGGAACAAACGTACAAGAATCAAATCGATCTATTCGAGAAATAAAATGATAAAATGAACATCCAGTGTTCATATATCGTGAAGAAAGTATGATTCTACGAAATAAATTCGTTTAAAAAACAAAAAGTTATCGAAATTAATGAATAAAAGCACGCAAGAAGGATTAAACCAATCTACCTGGATCGAACATATTTATTTCCCCTGATGATATTTAATAATCATCGAGGTCAACGTCATCGAGAGGCTCGTCAGCCTGGAGTGACTGGAAATCGACTTTGTAGCGTAGAATTCCTATGCAATTACAATAGACACTGGACCATTAATAATTCAGTCTTTCGTTTTGTTCGAGAACATTGACAGGTTTTTAATGCATTCCCAGTGTCAGTGGTGTACGAGAAGCTCCAGAATATTTTTATTCTCATCGTATTTCGTTATTCTATCGTATTTAGAGGACTCGCGAGTTCATTGGGATTTAATTACATTTTTATTGGAAATAACTCACCTCCAATGCCACCAAAACCTCTGACGAACTGCGATCCTTCCTGAGATTTGTCCGTTATGATTTCTAGAGTTGCTCCGAAGCTCTTGTAGTTGTTCGCGAGCCATTCTAGCAGGGGCTGGCACTCTACTAATTCTAACTCGACGCCACTCTGTAAAAAGAGAAATATAAATGAGCGAAATGAAGAGGAAACAAAGTGACAAGACGAGTTTAATTAAAAAATAAACTGAACAAAAATAAATAAAAAGGAATTGATTAATTAATTAATCAATAATCAATGAGTCGCGTTTTCATGAATTGATAAATAATGAATTAATGAAAGAAAACAGAACGAACGAATGAATGCTGAATGAGAGTCCTTGGACTTGTATTAATTATTAATAATGTTTAACGAACCTCTTTGTCGGTGAAGTGGGTCTTGTCTTTCTCTTGCTCTGGAGTCAGGTGCAGCACCTTCTCTTCACCATTCGTGTGATTCTTGAGGACGTACCGTTGAATGTCGAGATTCTCCCAACAGATGAGGGTCTCTACACTGCCTAATTCTAACGCTCTCAAGGTATCCTCAACGCCGAAACAGTATTTACCGGTGTCTTGAGATATTTCATCGAAATAACGTCCTGAAAGGTGTTTAAATATGAGGATAGAAAGAGATTTTCTAGAGACACTCGAAAAAATTCGTTTTGTTTTCAGAGAATTGTTAATTATCTCGGTAATCAGTTGCTTTAAGAAAAAATATCAGAAGAATTTTTCTCATAAACTCACTCATTCTTAAAATAAATCGACTATCTTCGAAAATTTCGAATTGCATTCATCAGATTTACACATTTTAATAGACCATGAATACCAAGAATTATTTCTCGTTGAAAATGTAATTTTTCCCAAAAAAGTTATCGAGATAAATTAGAAAATGAAGAGAATAAAAAGTTAATTACCAATGAGTTTCTTTTCCTGAATGAACTTGACATTCTGCAGGGACTCAGCAGCAAGTTCAATAGCCTGATTGAAGCCATTCTCTCCCCCGTAGGAGACATCCACGAGTTTAATAACTTTCGCTTGCAATCTAGGATCAAACATGTCAGACTGACTGAGCTCAGTCTTGAAGTCTGCACTACCAGCCAGAATGAGACCAGCAATGTTGGGTTTGTCGTTGGTTATGTAGAGTTGTGTGGCTACTTCAGCTACTTTTCGAACGTAATTGTGTCTCTTCTCCATGCGCAATCGAGCGAAACGAAGGGCTGACTGACCTCCTCTTCCTGCATGTGAAGAGTGATAAATATTGAGAGAAAATCGTTTTCAATATTTCTTTCAAGCGATTGAGAGCTAAATCATTGATATTTGATCATTTGTTCTTCATCAATTAATTTAGTTCATAAATTTTTAATTAAACTTATTAATGAAAGGGCCTGTGACATTGATAAGCCACAAAAATCATTCGAAAAAATAATTACCGTGCTTCTTGGGAAGATCAACGGTGAATTTGTGAAGCACCTCCCTCGTGTTTCCCTGGAGAGTACCAAACAGGGCTCCATTACCATCCATAACGATAAATCCAAACTTGTTGTCGTCGGCTAATAGCGCCGTGAGGGCTTCCGTGTGAAACTAAAGACACACCACATTAGCAATAATTCAGAAGCCAATCTTCCATTACCTCTTATCAATTCACCTTGTTGTCACACAAGTAGAGGGACGTGTTGATGGGCTTGAAGGGCTCAAAGTCAATGTTAACTTTCTTCTCCTTGCCTTCCTCGGTGACAATTGTCCCGCAGTATATCACCAGACCATTTGGGGGAACTGTAAAAATATCAACACATCACCAACATGCCCTTCAATTAACAAATTCACCTCTTCATAATCTTTCTTTATCCATTCTCAATTTAAAAAAAAATCATGATAGAGGAGGATTTGTTGAAAGAAAGATAACATGAATTTCGCACCGTAAAAATATTCATAAGTGAGAAGAAAAGTGAATTGATTCATTACAACGAAGAATAACTGTACTTTTCACAAAAAAAATATTTCATGTGCGTCAATAATTAAAAAGGTCAGGAGCAGTTACATCAAAATTTCTAGTTAATTTTTCAACTCAAAGACGTCAATTTCGCCCAATTTATCGTTATGAATTGAAGAAAGGAAGACGGGAATCCCCAAACTTACGTGAATTTCAATAAAAATATGAATATTTGAATTGGAAATTCAAGAAAAATGAATAATTGAACTGAAACATAATTTTCATAGTTTTTTAAATAAAATTCTGAGTTATAAATGACGAAATTCCTTGAAATTTCCTTAAAACAGTGATTTAAAAAATCGTTGAAATACGTTCAACCCTACTAACCTCTTTTCAAAAGCCATATTCACCTCCTCCCCTCACCCCGCCCAAAAAAAACCCCAACCACCCCCTGATACTCAAATTTATACCTTTGGTGTACAATTTAAGTCGATGCTGTACCGAAGTGATGGCCCCCAGCACCGACAATCTATTTACACGTGATTTGATATTGGAAGCTGTGCCAAACTCATCAGCCAGCATTTTGCTGACCCTCGATATCTGGTCCTTGGGTGGAATGATGAGTGAGATCATGCTCGTGCCATTTCTGTGGAGAAAAAAGCCCATTAGTCCCCGAAAGAAATCACCATATGGACGAAACATGGGACACGTCTCCAGTTTCCATAAATTGCACGACTGCCCTCACCCCCTGGCCATCTCCAGACTCTTGATGAGCTTCTTGATCTTCCAGATCTCGACATTGCGATCGGCGGAGGTCTCCTCGTTGGACATTTCGGCGCGTGGTGAGTCGCGTGGTTATATTCAAGCCTAACCAACCTGTCCCCCTTGAATTTTTCCCCTGAGTCTTCGCCACTCGTCGGTTGCTTTTCTATTCCCTTGTTATTTCCTTCTCTCTGGAAGTAAAAAGAACTTGTGGAGGCAATGGAGAAACGATAAATGCCTTGAGGAATGAAAATAGTATAGTGCATGGACAACAGGAGCACAGATCATCGGTGAAATCCGAGCATATCCAGTTTATACCGGATTATGTCAGTGAGGCATGCCCCTCTCACTCTACAAGTACATTACCATTTACAACTGTCTCACTCTGGCACTCGTTTTGAGGCCATCCAATGCGGATATTCCGCATTGTGGCAGCAGGACATTTTCAGGGAGGGAAAAAACCTCGTGGACGGAGGACAAATGTTCCCCCCAAAATTAACGGGTCATTTTCCAGTTGAGATTAGTCATCTGGGTTTTCACGATTTCCTGGTTAATTGGGCTTTTTGGGGGGCTTTTGCGGTCACTGGGGGTGGAATTTTAGTATTGACTTACGCTCTCGCCGCGCCTCGGCTTCCTCGCTCTCGTTCTACCTGATTGACGACGGCGTGGACCCCGATGCGGGCGATTATGGACGATATTTGATACGTGACACTCTGAAACACCACGGATTACGGTATGCACACGTCGGCCATGCGAGAGACCAAGTGGAATTGGGGGGAGGGGAAGGCTCGGAGGCAACTTCAGGGCATTAAGGCCTCCGCACAATCGAAGAATTGGAGATATTTTTTTGAAGAAGAAATTTGGTGAATTAACTGTGCACTGGGAGAATTCCACTATTTTACGAATTGGTTTGTCCGATAGAAATTGAATAGAATTTGAATGATGACGTCACAACTCTTTATAGTTTGGGGTTCACTCACTACGAGGCGCTACTTCCGCTTTGAATTCGAGAATCGAAAAATAAGTTTTTGAAAGAGGCAACTTCAGGGCGTTGAGGCCTCCGCAGACGCGAAAGAATTGATCATAATTTTTTTTCAAGAAATTGATGAAATTAATTGGGCATTTTGAGAATTCCACAATTTTATAAATTATTTTTTATTCAATAAAAATTCGATGCTATTTGGATAATAACGTCGAAGCTCTTTACTTTAAAGTCAAGAATAGAATTATGGACAGACTAAGAAAGTCTTTCAGTTATAATTTCCCCATTTTTCCACATTTTCCTTGAGAGGCCTCGAGAATAGAAAAACTACTGAAATGCAGGAAAACTTGACGCCACGAATTCTCAGCCAAAGGGGGATGGAAAAATCGGAACGATAGCTTGAAAAATTTGTTCATTTTCTAGGAACTGCAGGAAACGAGTTGAAGGTAATTTGAACAGAATAAATAATTTTAAGAGACGTTCAAAAATGCGAGGTGGGCGACACACGTCCGCCATGCAAGAGACCAAGTGGATTTTTCCGGGTGGGGGGGGGGG